AAAAACAAGGAGATTTGTCTTTCCCTGATTATCGAGTATTAGAAGAATCATGAGAGCTGTGTAAATATCGTACCTTCGGGTAAATCATCATCTATTTTGTGTGCAGATTTGATTTGCAAGTTCTATGTCATTATATCTGTGTGCAGACATATAACTCTTCTTATAGAGAGTTGGATTATTTACATAGTGCCAACAATTTAGGCCGTGCTTCACATAGTGCACATTCACCTCCGTCCCTGCCCTCAAGGAGCTTACAATCTAAGGTCCCTATCTTGCATACATACGAGGGCCAATTTAGACAGGAGCCAATTAATCTACCAGCATGTCTTTGGAGTGTGGGAGGAAGCTGGAGTACCCGGAGGAAACCCACTCAAGCACAGGGAGAACATGCAAACAGAATCTGGAGCACCTGCCCATAGCAACCAATCAGCTTCTCTGTTCAGTTTATTCAGTTCAGCTTTCTAAATGAGAGAGAGAAGCTGAATGGTTGACACAGGCCACTGCTCCAGTTTTGATTCAATTCTCCTCTATAGGTTTATGTAAACTAAATAACTTAGATGGTTGCACAAGGGCATACCTGACTACCCAATATTTCTGGCCTACAGGGGGCTGGCTTGGTTCACAGCAGATCTAGCCAGGCAAGGTGATGACATCTAGTATCTGGTATGGTTTGAAGACTTCCTCCATTCACTACAAACATTCAGTCATGTCCAGGGAAATTCCCTTCACTTAGAGCTGAACTCCAACAGATCAATGAAATACATGCAGGGTAGTTTCTTTACCTCCCAAAATACTTACTATGCACCTCGTCCTAAGATTTACACTGCTGTGATAGAAAGTACAGCCTGGTTGGTGACTTGACTTTTCTCTACTGCAGTTAGGGAACCCAGCCTGGTCACCTCTGCTTGTGATTGGACAGTTAAGGACTAGCAAGTGGATTGATGAGGTCATCTCTCTGCTCTCTCCAACTGTAGGCACGTTCCTTGTCAGCACATGAGAATGCAGGACACCTGCTAGGCCTCTAGTACTGTCCCTCCCTCTCCCAGCCTGAAAGCTGCTGTACAGAGGGTTACAGGAGGGTGAAAACAGTCTAATTCTGGTATTTATACTAGTTGCATTTAAAATACATTTAATGTTTTATTAAATTTGGTGTTTTTATATCTGCCTGGAGTTCATCTTCAACTAAACCTCTGTCAGAGCTGTCATTTTGTCATATTTGTTTTTAAATAAATACTACTACATCACTGATTACACCCACTGGCATGTGAGATGGCAACAAAGGTCTTCCACTTTTGTCCTTGGCTAAGCCAATGACTGTGTTCCAGTTCAGTCTCAGACTCTGACTGCAGCCTTATTACTGTGGAGGGCAGCTTGTGTCTCCCATCTGCTAATAATTGCCTTTGTATTGTGATGGTGGCCGTGTTTATTTTAGTATTGTCATTTATACCATCAGTGAACTAAAGGCATTTGCATGGAAGTTATCAGTATGTTTAAAGAGGAGCTCCACTTATTTCAAATATTTTTAAAAATGTACTCTTTCATTGGGGCTTCCCCCCGTAAGGGTTAACTGCTCATATTGGTATGGGGGCCAGAATACAGAAGATATACCCACCTGATCCTTGTTTGGTGCTCACCTCTCTTACCCTCTGCACCGGCTATGGGATGTCCCTCAGCATCCTCATGACTAATGCAAGTCAAAAGACCTGCATTAGATGTGATGGTGTGACCCCCCCCCCCCCTGGGGCTTTAGCAGAAAGGTGC